CGAGGCATCGATGTACTGTGGATGGTTGATGATCGAATTATCGTGAAGTATATCTCCTTAACCATTCAGTTTAGGATAAATGGATCGCTTGATACTTTTTTACTTGGTATTTATTATTCTTTTTTTTATTTAAGATGAAAAAAATATATGCTCCAGTTTAAGAGAAATAACGATGACCTTGAAAATTTCTCACAAAAAAAATTGATTACGCCGTATTTTTGCCTCCCGTAAAATCACACAACTTTTGTATTACATAATTTTCAATTTGGCGCATAATTTAAGTTATTTCAAGTATGCAAGTTATTGTATATATTATATATAATATATACAATATGTACTATATATATAATATACAATATACATGTGTTGTTATATATATTATATTCACAACATACAATATATATATATATAATTGTATACACAATATACTATATATATATATACACAATATATATCATGCAAACATATAATATATAATATATATTACATAATATATAATATATATTACATAATATATAATATATAATATATATAATATATATACATAATATACATAATATAACATATAATATATCATGTATACATAATATACATAATATATAACAATATATATTATATATTATGTATATTATGTATATATAATATATATTGTTATATATTATGTATATTATGTATACATAATATATTATATGTTATATATTATGTATATATAATATATATTATATGTTTGCATAATATATATTGTATATTATATATTTGCATAATAATATATATTGCATAACATATATTATGTATATTATGTATATATAATATATATTGTATATACAATATATAATTATGTATATATATATATATATATATATATATATCCTATAGTATTGTTACAGTAGTATTACAATGATAAAGAGTGTTTTAAAGAATTTTATGTAAATACATAGTGCGATTTTTAAAATATATTCAAGTATTTATGTATGTATCCATGAAAGATCTTAGAACCTAACCTACGAATCCACTGTATATGCATAATATATTGTCGCGGTTATCGAGAACGAAATGCGATACTTACGGTCAGCCTTGCGATCCCCGCAGTTGACGGCCCAGTGATAGTTGCAATGATCGTGTACGGCCCCGTGGCCGTCGAAGAGTAATCCATTCTCGCAGTACTCGAGGGTCAGGGTGCCGTTCGTACAGAGGAAGAAGGCGTTGCAGTTCTCGGGGTGAGCGTACGCGTGGACGCCATGGGGGTCTGGACAGGGTGGCGCGCCCAACAGCGTAGCTGCTTCACCTGCACATCGCGAGCCAACAAATATCATTTAGTAAATAGTGTCAATAAAAATAAAATAAATGTAAGGTAAATAACAAAGTAAACAAAATAAACAATAAAGTAGGTAAAGCAAATAAAGTAAATAATAAAGTAAGTAAAGTAAATAAAGTAAGTGAACTAAATAAAGTAAATAAAGTAAGTAAAGTACATAAAACAAGTAAAGTAAATAAAGTAAGTAAAGTAAATAATAAAATATGTAAAGTAAATAAAATAAATAGTGAAGTGAGTAAAGTAAATAAAATAAATAAAATAAATGATAAAGTAAATAAAGTAAAGAAAAGGAACAATAAAGTAAATAATAAAATAAATAATGTAAATAATAAAGTAAGTAAAGTAAATAAAATAAATAATAAAATAAGTAAAGTAAATAAAATAAATAGTAAAATAAGTAAGATAAATGAAATAAATAATAAAGTAAATAAAGTAGAGGAATGGAACAATGAAGTAAATGATAAAATAAATTAAATAAATGATAAAGTAAATAATAAGATAAATAATAAAATAAATAGAGTAAATAATAAAGTACATAAAGTAAATAAAGTAAATAATAAAATAAATAGTAAAGTAAATAATAAATAAAGCAAATAATAAAATAATTGAAAGAAATTAACAAAACAAAACAACAGATTAAGCCAAGTGAGGATTGAACCTTAGAGCCAGATATCCGAAGGCTATCAGAGAAGGCGTGAACAAACACTTTCGTGATTTGAATGACAGATGAAGGCAGCATGCAGAAAGCGTGTCGCGAAACGGAAATGTAGAGTCAGCGCTTCTTTCTCTTGCGGGAAGAAACAACAATCGACACAAGCATGAGAGGAGGAGGGCTAGCAAGATTGCCTAGTAGCTAATGGCGAGAAAGAGAGGATGAGACAAGGCAGAGCACATTATGCAAATTACCGGAGCTGATTGGACTTTCTGATTTGCACCTCGCTGGTGGCAAGGTGACTCGTGAGACACGAGATAGATTTGTTATACACATAGATGAAAGAAGGACAAAGAGAGAGACAGAGCAGAAAGTAGAAAGGCAACGAATCAATTAATCAAGTATTACGAATACCTATACCTATACCTATACCTATACCTAAACCTAACGTAAAAATAAACCTAACCTATACCTATACCTAAACCTAACGTAAACCTATACCTATACCTATACGTAACCTAAACCTAACCTAACTCTAACCTATACCTATACTTAAACCTAACGTAAACCTATACCTATATCTATACCTAACCTATTTCTTTTTTTACGTGGAGGAAATCTTCAAAAAGACACCTTCAAAAACTCCCCAGAGGGAGGGAAGCCAGGTAGTGTCGA